TTTCGATGAAGTCTCATTCATCATCTTCAGGCTTGTGTCTTCGGCTCCGTGCTTCTCAGAGTGAGCACTTTGAGAAGCACAGAGCCGAAGACACAAGCCTGAAGATGATGAATGAGACTTCATCGAAACGTTGCCTAGATACTTCCAATCTTACGCGGGAGAAAACCCGAATAACCAAAGATCCACATACAAATACCCGCAAGAACCTCAGAAACACACACACACACACACACACACACACACACACATATATATATATATATATGTTTTCTTAAGTTTTCGCGGGTACTTACATGTATGACATTCAGCTTTGTTCGGGTATTTTCCCACATCGTTGTAGTTGTGCTTTTAAAGTTGTAGCAACATTTTGGCAGAATCTCATCTGCCATCATCAGGCTTCTGCACACTATACACTATACAAGCGGCAGCAACCGGCCAAAGAAGAAGTGGGCCGGCAAGGCAAGTATTGGGTATGCGAGGCCTGGTAAGTAGGGCAGCTCTACCCCACCCCCACTGGCTTAATTTTTACCCATGCGCCTCACCCCACCCCGTGTATCCTGGAGTGGGCGGGGGTCTTAACTAGGGCTTATTTTGGAGGTAGGGTTTATATTGGGTGCACATGTAAAAATCAAACTAGGGCTTACTTTTGGGGTAGGTCATATTTTTGGGGAAACACAATATTTGGTTGGACAAATTTTGCTTTTGAAATCTTAGCAGGAAAGCTGGATTTGACTGGCATTTCTTTTTGGTAAGTCCGAGATTTGTGAAAGGATGACAACGCTTCATTCCACTTCATATATGAAAACTGTGTAGAATATATAAAATATATATGTCTAAGAGAAGCAGTTTGGGATAATGGTTAAGGCAGCAGGCTAGAAATCCAGAAGCTGTGAGGTCTGTAATTCTGTCTTAGGCACAAAGACAGTTGGGGAGCTTTGGACCAATGTCAGACTTAAGATCAGGCAATGGCAAACCTGAGAATCAGAGAAAGAAAGAAAGAAAGAAAGAAAGAAAGAAAGAAAGAAAGAAAGAAGGAAGGAGATATCTAATGGAGGGAGGGAGGAAAGGAAGGAAGGAAGGAAGATTCACAAACAGAAACAGACAGACATAATTCCAGAATTCCTAGAGTAACCATCTTCATACTGCAATCCCAACATGTCTAGAAGTACCAGGTGTGGGATAGCTGGAAAAAAAATTGCCACTGCATAATGTGACAGGCACACAACAGATTATGTGAGGTAAGCAGACTTATTGTGTGAGGTAGGCAGACTTATTGTGTGAGGTAGGCAGACTTATATATGGGATGAAGGTCTGAGCAGATACCTTTTGCTCACTGGAGGTCCGTTGATGTATTTTTCTTCTGCTGTCTTGTAGTCTATCTGATCCACAGCAGAAATTGCATAAATGATGGCCTGGAGACAAAAAGAAAAGGGCACTGTTTAGAGCAGTGCTTCTCAACCACGGCCATTTTAAGATGTATGGACTTCAAATCCCAGAATTCCACACCTCTTAAAATGGCCAATGCTGAGAAACATTGGTTTAGAGGGGGAGGAAGAGGGGAGGGGGGAAGGAAGGAAGGAAGGAAGGGCTACAACTTAGTGGCAGAACAAAAAGCTCTCAATTCATATTCTGGTTCTCCCAAGGATGGCTAGGAAAAATTTCCACCTGAATCCTTGAAGAGCTGCAATATGCTAATCTGGTCAAATACAACCAGAGGGATTGAGTTTTTACATGGGGAATGACACAGTATAAAGTCTCTGCTTATCTTCCACGTCCCCCACTTCACTTACTTCTGGAAAAAGTACTTCAAGGACAAATTTGGCACTGTCTCTATTTTTAACCGGCAGCTTCTTGGCTCCAACTTCCCGATAAACTTTCTTTAAGTAGTTGAGCACAAGGTCCTGCTGATAATCATCCTCCAGGTAGGTTTCCAGGATTAAATACCGGGGTGTTTTGAGGGATTTCCTTAGCCAGCGTGACTGTTTCTGGCTCTTCAGGATAGAGCGGAGGTGCTCATCAGCTCCTTTGGCTTTTACAATGAACTCCACAATCCGTTTGTTGGCTTTGTCTCGGGCGGCTCGCGTCCGGTCAGGAAGAATTTTCTTCTCTTGCTTTGGGGGCGTTATCTCAGCGAGAAGCTCCCCATTGTCCAACTCCTCCATTTGACGGAAGCTCATCTGGGATAAAGTAGGGAAGGATTCTTTTCGGACCGGAGTGCCTTGAAAAAAAGAAGCCAGGGTCTTTGCTCAAAGTTGGATCAGCACCTAAAACAGGGGTCTCCAAACATGGCAGGTTTAAGATTTGTGGACTTCAGAATTCATGGCTGGCTGGGGAGTTCTGGAAGTCCGTAAGTCTTAAAGTTGCCAAGTTTGAAGTTCCCGATCTAAAAAGTTGCTAATCCCTATTTCTCTCCCTGTCATACAACTACAAGTGGTCTTTGACTTATAACAAGTTGATTCACAACTGTTAAAAGTTATGACAGACACCACCCCCCACCCCCGAATTACACATGACATTTCAAGTTAGGACAGCTGGACACACACATATACCCTGCAGTTACGTGATTCCATTTTGTGCACTTGACAACTGGCCCATCTTTATGACTATTTGCAGGGTCCTATGGTCAAAGGGACATGATGGCTCAGTGGCTAAGACGCTGAGCTTGTCGATCAGAAAAATCGGCAGTTCGAATCCCTGGCACCACGTAACTGAGTGAGCTCCCGTTACTTGTCCCAGCTTCTGCCAACCTAGCAGTTTCGAAAGCAGGTAAAAAATGCAAGTAGAAAAATAGGGACCCCTTTGGTGGGAAGGTTCCGTGCGCCTTCAGCATTTAGTCATGCCAGCTACAGACCACGGAGACATCTTCGGACAGCGCTGGCTCTCCGGCTTTGTAACAGAGATCAGCACCGCTCCCCTGAGCCAGAAATGACTAGTGCATATGTCCGAGGGGAACTTTTACCTTTATCTTTATGGTCAAGTACCAATGATTACTGATTAAGTGTTTTTTTTAATCAGGGCAATCTTGTCGAACCGATGGAGCATAGTACTTCCGCTTTATTTTTTTTGCCAGTAAATATAAATTTAACACAATGATTTCTGATGCTTTTTTGCCAGTTTTTGGCAAAAACACACCCATTGGGGAAAACTGATCCCACTAATGATTGTGGGATCATCCATTTGAAGACCATTGTCAACTAAAAAGATACTCCTTTGGTCTTTTTAGCTGCCAGAAAAAGGGAGCGGGGGCGGGGGGAACAATGCATTGCTTAAGTGCCTAGATAATCACCCTGGCAGCCCAAAGTTGTTAGAGTGCAAGAACATTACTGGAGAGCATGATTGATGACTCTTGGCTATGGATGTGTCCCATTGGAGAATATACATCCAGGGGGTGGGGGGAAGACCAGGGTCAAGGGGGAAATGAATGATGTAATTTAGTATCGGCTGCACCCAGCTAACACCAACATGGCCTCTTCTAATAAACCAGTTTTATTTTCTCTGAGAGATGCAGCTAGAGACTTACGATTTGAATGGGGGTGGATTTGTTGGAGTCCTGACAACCATAATGTTTGCTTAACGGCCACCATAAAAAGGATAACAAAAATTGGGTCCGGTTTCATGATACTTCTATTTACGACCACATCAACTTACGACCACAATTCCCGGGTTCAATTATGGTCGTAAGTTGAGGACTACCCATAACAGAGCGTACAGATAACACTCTCAGGATGGTGAGCATCAGAAGTTGAAAGAATGTCAATACATAGAAGTGCAGAAGGAGCTGAGCATTATTGATGACATCAAAACAGTTTTACCAGAAAAGGAATCCCAAGCAGGCCCTGTTGTGTTTAAGCTGCTTTAATTTTGCTATATAATGTGCACCACCCTCTTCCAAGGAATGGGGGCTTCTTAAGTTATAAAACGAAGCTTACTCACTCATGTCATCAGCACAATATTCCAGGAAGGATCCCACAAAAGAATGGCAACCTAAGAAGACAAGATGGTGATGTTATCCATTTTGCAGTCATGTCCATCTCTTGGTCATTATGGGTCAGGTCCAGGGGTGGGATTCTACCGGTTCATACCCATTCGCTAGAACCGGTTGTTAACATTCTAAGCAGTTTGGAGAACTGGTTGTTAGAAGAAATTACTGGCCTAATCCTGTCAGGAAGGCAGGAAGGAAACATTCTGGTGTTGCTTATGGAAACTGCCTCTCCGTTAACCCTTATTACATTCTTGGCAGGACTAGACTTCCTGTCTCAGGAACTTCTCTGGAGTTTTTTTTCCTCCTTTGCTGGTACTTTGCTTGTGTGGAGGGACCAAAGTTACAATGGCACTGAAAAAAGTGACTTATGACCGTTTTTCACACTTACGACTGTTGCAGCATCCCCACAGTCACGAGAGGCCAGGCGAGGAGATGTGTGCCTCGATCTGAGTGATATTGAGTTGGCCACGCCCAGCCAGTCACATGACCACCAAGCCATGCCCACCACCTAAGCCACGCCCACAGAACCGGTTGTTAAAAAAAATTTGAATCCCACCCCTGATCAGGTCTCTCCATATCTTCCAATCTTGCACTGTTTCTTGGAGTATTTCTATGCTCTGGCTGGTGTCAAATTCCAACCTTGATGGTATCCAACCACCGTGTTCTTTGATGGCCTGGTTTCCTTTTACTGCTAAACTCTTCCAAATGTAATTGCTTTCACGTATGAATTCCCCAGCATGACACGGCCAAAATAAGTGAGACACTTTTGTGATTGTTTTTTTCCTTCCAGTGACAAGGAGGACAAGAACAATACTCAGATTGGGGATGGATGACTGTGTGCAGTGCCAGTCCTTGGAAGAGGCCCCCAACATTCTAACTACAGAATGATCAAACTATAATCTTATTTACTATCACCCAAAGAGAAAATGATTTGACTACAACAGCTGGACAATATCACTTATATTCAATGTTAATGTAAATCAAATAAGGCTTATCGTTTTATTACTAGATTTATATCCTATCTTAATGATATCAACTCAAAGTATCTCAACTTATTTGCTCAATGTTGATACAGGTAGTCCTTGACTTAACAGTCATTTGTTTAGGGTGAAGTTACAACAGTGCGGAAAAACGTGACTGATGATCAGTCCTCGCACTTTACACCCATTGCAGCATCTCCACAGTCATGGGATCAAACTTTGGGTGTTGGGACAACCGGCACGTATTCACAGTCAGCTTCTGACAAGCATGTCAATGGGGGAAGCCAGATTCATTTAATGATTCACTTAACAACGGTGGCAAAAAGAGAGCATAAAATCAGGTGTGACTCGCTTAAACACCGCCATGCTCAGCAACGAAACTTCTGATCCCAATTGTCTGTAGAGATTCTCTGTCATCCAGGTCATGATTTGTCCCAAAGATGCTTTTCCAGGAGGAAACTGGACTTCCTTGGTTTTTCTTTCAAGAAGTCTAGATGCCTCCTGAGAAAGCACCTTTGGGACAACCATGACTGAGAATATCTGCAAACTTTTTGCTATACAATAGGGATGAACACGCTTTGCATGGTGTGCGAGTAGAAATAGATTTCCAGAGGAAAAAAATGCAGACTGCAGGAACCATTAGGTGGTCACCTACTCAGGTGACCCTGAGGACACAGAGAAACCTCCAAGTGCTTCAATGATCCCCTAAAAAGGATGCAAATGACCAGCTGTCTTCGAGGAATAGAAATCTTTCTGTTCCCCACTTTCCTATCAGAACGGAAGAAATTTCTTGGATGAGAAATGAAGCGTCTTTGAAAAAAAACAAAAAACAAGAAAGTCCATTTGCCTCCTGAAAAAACACCTTTGGGTCTGATCCCAATTGTGACTGTAAGTTGAGGACTACCTGGACTTTATCCCCTTCAAAACTACACTCTGAAAAAAGTGATCTAGAAACTTGTAAATTTCCTCTTGTAAATGTCCCCAGATTACCCAAGAACCAATTTCTTAAAAAAACTGAAATTCAGGTAGTGAACACTAAAATTGCCCACATCTGCTACAAAATGGTCATTTAATTCCAGTTTTTGGCCAAACCATGCCTATAGCGATCAATCGGTTTGCTTAATGACCACTACAAAAATGCTTGTAAAATTGTATTGGTCCCACTTTATGACCTTGACGGGCAGCCTCTATTACGGTCATAAGTTGAGGACAATCCGCAGGTCTGCAAAGAAGAGTTAAAGGAGACAATGCAGTAGTAGCAGAAGAAACTCATGACTTCAATTCTGCCCAAAGTTTCCACTGCTAAGCAAGGCCTTTTGTGCCACACTTGTTAAGCAAATCACTGCAATTGTTAAGTGAATCATGCGGTCGTTAAGTGAATCTGGCTTCCCACATTGACTTGGGTTGTTGAAAGACAGCTGGGAAGGTTACAAATAGTGATCACATGACTCTGGGACACTGCAACTGTTATAAATACATGTCAGTTGCCAAACCACCCGAATTTTGATCACATGACCATGGGGATGCTACAACAGCTGTAAATGTGAAAAACTGTCATAAGTTGGGTTTTTTCCAGTGGTGTTGTAACTTCGAATGGTCACTAAATGTACTGCTGTAAGTCAAGGACCAGCTGTAAAGCTAGTTGGAAGATCGCAGTAGAATCTCCACTTGCAAAATGCAGGAAAAAAGTTGATCAAGCTGCAAAGAAGAATCCCCCACTCATAAATTTAGGGTGGGCTTTGAAAAGTTCCTTGGGCCTTTCCATCTTACCTACTCTAATTCTGTAATCTGCAATCAAGCTGATGCACCAGTTGAGTTCGCGGTTATAGTTCTCCCTTGCTTTCTCCTACGAAGAAAAACAAATTAGGCAAACAGACTCCACTTACAGAAGCAGAGGGGGTCAAACTCAGTGCCCGTGGGCCTGATCCAGTCTGTGGGGTGCTTAGATCTGGCCCATGGGGGGGGGTGTCTCCCTGGAAACAGCGAAGGACCGGCCTGAGGTGCCTCTGCCACTGAAAACGGAGCTTTTCACTGGGCAGAGAGCTGTAGGAGGCAGTCACAGCCAAAAATGGAGCCTAGGAGGGCCTGCGTGCTCCACCCAAGCTCCGTTTTTGCTGGCAGAGTGCTGACAAAACAAACTGCGAGCATAAGCAGATTTTCCCTCCCCCAGCCCCGCCCAGGTTGTCACAGTGTAATAGGTGCCATAGTGTAATAAGACTGGGACTGTTAGGGACTTCTGTCCACGCTGTGAGTTGTGTTGGGGAGGGTGTACACGAAGGCAGGCTCAGCCAATCTCATTGAAGACATGTTTTACTCTGACAATAAAGATAATGAACAATAACACAGGTGCCCCCCAACACAAGTGACATCGTGCTGGGCACACCCACCATGGCCTTGCCCACATGGACACGCTCCACCCCATCGAAGTCAAACACAACCCCCCTGATGTGAAATCGAGTTTGACCCCCCCTGAAATAGGGCCAATGCCAGAGCACGAGCAGCATTTATTCCCGGAGGCTTTACTCACTGTCAACGTCTGTTTCTCTTTGCAGTCAAAGTGCTTTAGGTTTCTGAGGGAAGTAGAGAACCTGCATCAAGAAGGGAGAGAAAATGACACCTTAGCCTCTGCAGAGGCATGATTTTTTTTCAGCCCTCTTTTTATCCAGACTGGTGTCTCTCAGCCGTGACCATCATAAGACGTGTGGACTTCAATTCCCAGAATGCTGGCTGGGGAATTCTGGAAGTTGAAGTCCACGCTTCTTAAGATGGTTGAGGTTGAGAGATGCTGGTTTAGAACATGGACCATCTTCCCATTGGGGAATTCTGGAATTTGTAAGCTCAGTTCCTTCTCTTTTGGTGCTGTTTTAGTTTTAGTTTTGCCTGCGCGATGCTGGTTGGTGCAGCAGCTGCCACGCGGCGCTATTCTGCGCCGTGCAAAGCAGCTGCGCTTTGAATTCTGGCCATAAAAGTGAGTATGGGAGCCCAGGCGGGTGGGTGGGCCAAACACAGAGCAGCAAAGAGAACCGATTCGGTCTCCACTGCTCATTGCCGCTACCGGCTCTCCAGAACCGGTCGAATAGCACCACTGTCAGTGTACCTTATGACTATGAAAATAAACACAATCACACATCCTTTACATTCTATACATTGAATTGAAAACCCCTGATGTTGCATTAATATTGCACTATACAGTAGAATTCAATAGAGTTACTGCCCTGGGATAGAAACTGTTTTTCAGCCAATTTGTCCTTGTTTTTATTATCCTGTATCTGCCAGATGGTAATAGTTCAAAACAAGGAGTGCCCAGGATGAGATGGACCTTCGAGAATGTTTTAGAATTTGGAGTGTGTGTGTGTGTGTGTGTGTGTGTGTGTGTGTGTGTGTGATGCCAATGGAAATCAATGCCTTATGTTAGTTATTTGTTATGTTTTAATAGCCTTTAAGGTCATTTCAGCAACAGGGACTTATAGCATCAATCAGCGGTTGCTGAACTCATATCAAGCATGTCTGTATCACCAACATTTTGACACAATGGTAGTTAGCAGTGTTACTGTAATGTTACAAGGAAGTAGAGCTGGTACTTCTGGGTGTGTTCTTGTTTGGACTACCTCGCAAGGCTGACATCTATGATAAAACTAAAAGTGGCAATGCACACCCGAACACTATCATGTCAATCAACCCTCCAAGATGCCTAACCCAGATAGGTACATAAGTAGGTAGAAACATATCGATGGAGAGATAGGTATCGGGAGGGAGAAAGGAGAGATGAACAGAGATAGATATGGATAGAGAGGTGGATATGGAAATATAGACAATGGATGGATAGATATAAATAGATAGATAGACAGATAGATAGATAGACATATATAGATAAATAAAAGGAAAAATAGTTGTAGCTCAGGATTGAAATGAATGTTCTCTGTGCTTGTTTTTTTGCAGGCATTTCATTACCCCAAATAGATAACATTGTCAGTGCTAGTGATTAGATAGCTAGAAATCCTGATCTACTGCAAAACTGAAATAGGGATGTTTAGCCTGTGCAGGACCCATAGCCAAGAGGATGCTATAGGCAACCCCGGTTTTAAACCTATATATATATCCCTATGTTTATGGTTATAAAGAGGACTCCCTATAGAGAATTTGCTTCTGGTATAAAATCACACACAATTATTTTTAAAAAAGATTGCTACAATTCCTCATGTACTCAAGATATTACCATAAAGTACACAGAAGCCTAGAGCTGGTCAAGAAGATTCTTTCCAAGTCAGGATCCTGGAATGTTCGCAGGCCTCATCCTGCTCAATCCTGGATTTACTTCCAGGAAGACCAACCTAACTTTGGAACAATCACTTTGGGAGAAATACAGGAGTGTTCTAGGACGTGGATGAGTCTGGTTCTCCCGTGGCTACTTCATTGTTTGAAGTCCACAGGTGGTAAAGGAGCCATAGTTTACCTACCCCTGAGCTACGTCATCCCAACTAATTAAAAGGAGACCAATATTTCAACTGCTGTCACTTTGTTTGTTTTTTATCACAACTTTCTACCCCAAAGTTGCTCCAGGGCGGTTTTCTCAACTTTAACAACTTTTAAGAGGTGTGGATTTCAACTCAGCAGAATTCCTCAGCTAGTATGAATTATAAGAATTGATGTCCACTCAATTTATGACCGTCTGGGGAATTCTGGCCAATTCTCTGCTCTGTGGACCATCTGTATCATTAGGTCCCCAATGTTACTTTGAGGAAAAGGAAGATGCAATAAAATTGTGGCTGTTTCGTGGTTGCTAGGACTTGAAAATGCCTCAAAGGCACATAAGCAACCCATCAGTTATAGGTTGACCGTTCAAGGATACAGTGGCATTGAAAAAGGTGGGGGGGTCCTTGGGGCGCTCTCGAAGCTTAGTTGTTTTCCTGCAGACATTTTATTCCTCAAACTGGGTAACATCAACAAAATTAAATACCATCTTCAGTGTATATTATGGCTATGAAAATAAACACAAACACACGTCCTTTACATTCTATACATTGAATTGAAAACCCCTGAAGCTGCATTAATATTGCACTCTGCAGTAGAATTCAACGGAACTACTGCCCTGGGATAGAAGCTGTTTTTCAGCCTATTTGTCCTTGTTTTTATTATCCTGTACCGTCTGCCAGATGGTAACAGTTCAAAAAAAAGAGTGCCCAGGATGAGATGGATCTTTGAGAATGTTTTAGAATTTGGTGTGTGTGTGTGTGTGTGTGTGTGTGTGTGTGTGTGTGTGTGATCCCAATGGAAATCGATGCCTTATGTTAGCTATTTCTACACAGGCAAAATGGGCTGAGACCATTTCCTGCAGAAGAACCAGGGAGCCTTGTTTTGGATAAGGAAATACAGGCTGTCTTCCACTTACAAACATTCATTTCGTGACAGTTTGAAGTTACAACCGCCCTGAAAAATTTGACTTAAGACTGATTTTCACACTTATGGCCATTGCAGCATCCCTATGGTCACCTGATCAAAATTCGAATGCTTGGCAACCGGCACATTTTTATGACCTTGTTCTGGAGTCATGTGGTCCCCTTTGGTGATCTGCTGACAAGCTAAGTCGACGGGGAAGCCAGATTCACTTAACAACGGGTTACCAACTTAACCGCTGCACTGATCCGCTGAACGACTGTGTCAAGGAAGGTTGTAAAATGGGGCAAAACTCACTCAACCGCTGCCTTGCTTAGCAATGGGAAATCTGGGGTTCAGTTGGGGCCATATGTTGAGGACTATCTGTAACTCAGCCATCGGTAGGAGGTGCCAGAAAAGGGCTCCTTGACACATAAAAACGGAAGGGAAGGAAGGGAGAGAGAGGAGCTCTACACCCGGGAATTAAAATAGTTTTATTTATTTACCCCTTAGTTTTCGTGGCATCCATGCATTTCTCTATAAGGACGACATTGGCTTTCTTAGCTTTCCGATGTACCTTTTTTACCTGCCAGGAGACAAGCAGAACAGCTGAACAGCTCGGAGGGTCACAGGTTTCCAATCAATGCATCTATTCAAAGGGACAAGTACACAGACTGGTTGGCCCTGCTACATCTCTGCAGCCGGCCCTTTGCAGCACATTATGAGCTAATCGGGAGGGCAGCCCATCATGAGTCGGATTTTGTCCCCTTTATTACCAATGTACTTCAACTCCCAGAATTCCTGAGCTTCAATAAGTAAATACAGCGTAAATCTTTCGCCTTTTACAGTAAATAATTAATATTCTTACCACAGCTGGCCAGTAGGGATATCTTGGGAGCTTGCACCAAACTATCATCCCGACTTCAAAACAACGAGGTTCTACAATACACAGAGTTTGGATTAAGGATTAAAACTGGAATTAATACTCTTGCAAAATATTCCTAGTGAAACTACTACTGTACTGTTGTTCAGCCTTACATTAGAGAATTGTACACAGAGTTTGCCATCTTCCCTGGTTTCCTCAATGTGTCCTCCAAACTTTACCGTTACTAATTTAGGGCACCGTTTCCTAACCTAAGTAACTTCTAGATGTATAGACTTTATTTCCCAGAATTCTGATCGGTTGCCGTGCTGGCTGTAGAATCCTGGGATCTGAAGTCCAACATCTGGAAATTTCCAAGAACAAGAACACTGTATTAGGAGAAGGTGCCAATGCTAGATCACCCTTTCTCAATCTTTTTTCCTGGAGGAATACTTGAAATCATGTTCAGGTTTTTCAGGAATATAAGCATTATTAGAAATATAGCGAGTGGCTGCATGCACCGCCATTTTTTTTTTAAAATGATTTTTTAATTTTTTTATGATTTTTTAGCAATCTCTCGTGGAAATGCGAAGTTTCATGAAACTCCATTTGAGAAAGGCTGTGCTACACTAACAAGGCGATGCCTGTAAATGAAATACAAATACAAATTTCAATACAGGTAGTCCTCATTTAGCAACTGCTTCCTTTAGTGACTGTTCACAGTTACGATGATGATGGAAAAATAACTTTGTGTCCCATCCTCACATTTAGGGCCTTCACAAGTCGTAACACAAAGGAAAACTGCAGTGAAACCACAAGCATAGCCATGCTTTTACTTAATGACCGAGTTGCCGGTCCAACTGTGGTCACTAAGAAAGGACTACCTCTATACATGCTGGGGAGGCCACAAAAAGCTGAAAGGGATGTGGGATTGAAAAGAGGTGGACTACACGGAGAGCCAAGTATCCATATGAAGATTTCGGAAAGGCAGGCTTCTGATAAATGGGTTCATCTCACTCATTCGCAGAAACCAAATTTGGTGGGAGGGGAATGTGTGCACATCATGTACACGTGATGCTTTATTGTGGCTTTTAATTTTTAAAATAAATTTGGGGGCTTTGAATCCTGGCAAGTGCCTGGACAAGCCCATGCCTTCACCACGGTCAACTCAACATAAGCCAACTTGGCGTGGCCAACTCGCTGCGGGAGAAGAGTCACATTAATATTGAAGAAACGGTGGAATAGAATCATTAAAAAAAAAAAGGATGCCAAAGGAGGGGTGAAATAAAATGTGAATGACAAAAATTAAAATAAAAGTTTAATTATTTGAAATAATGAAAACTGAACTGTTGAATTGTCCCACAACAAGTTGGCTGCGGCAAATTGGCTGTGGCGAGTTGTGTCTCATTTTGTCCACAGGAGGCTTAAATGAGACATAAGGGCAACCATACCCCAGTGATCGAAGTGACTCCCTCCTTTTTACTTAGGTTTCGACACCCTTGTGGCTGAGCAAGTGAGCAGAAGAGACAGGGCCTTCTCGGAGTGGCCCCAAGCCTTGGTCAACCATTGTCGCAGAGATTCACCCCTCCCCATCCAAGACATTATAATTCCTACCAGGTACTATAAGGTTTAGTTCAGCCATTGCTTATTTTTAAGGGAAACTACGTTGATTCGGAGGCATAATATTTTGAAGAAAGCTGCAAAGGGAGAAATAGTAACTACCTTGATGCAAGAAAATGCTGGGTAATTCCTCCTCCTCCTCTTCCTCTTCTTCATCCTTTGACTCTGGGCTTGGGCTCACTTTTCTTACGGGGCTCAGCTGCAGTGAAAGATCAGATGCCTGATCTGCTAATGAAGGAATACCGTGCCGATTTCAGTTTTACACGTACAGCATTGGAATTCGCACTGACAAATCTTACAGATGGGCCAGGAGATACTGCAGTCGGTCCTTGACTTACGACTGTGATGGAGCCTGGAATTACGGTCTAAGTCATTGCTGGCTGTTCAGTGGATCGCCATGTGGCCATGCCCAATTTTATTACCTTTTTTAAATTGGTGATTGTTAAGCGAATCCATTGTCTACAATTGCCTTTTTTTTGACAGAAACTGGAAGTAAAAACACATTGTAAATCACATTCCCGTGACTCTGGGGCACTGCAAATGGCTGTAAATTCGGGCAGGTTGCCGAGTGCTCAAAATAGGATCATGTGACTATAAACCCAAGGGAGAGGGCGGCCACTGGGACGTCAATCCAGATTGTGAGTAACCCTGGGGAGATTTGTTGTAACTTCAAACGATTGCAAATCAACCGGTCGTAAGTCGAGGACTTATCTATAACCCAGTTTTACCTTTTAAAACCAGACATTTCATATCTTGCCTGGGTTTTGCTCTAGTTGCTCCCACAATATGCAGGGGGAGCTTTGGGTAGAGAAAACTCGACTGAGCCCAAACTTTACATTGGGCCTTTCTTGACACAGTTGTTAAATGAATCACTGCGGTAGTTACATGAATCTGGCTTTGCTTCATCAAAAGGTGGTGAAAAGTGATCACATGACCCTGGAAGTATATATGGTTAAAAAAAGATAATATCTGGGGGGGCGGTTTCTCCATAAAACAATCCATTTTCAGTTCATGGGTACTGTTGTGGCCTGCCGGTGACTGACAGAGCTGGCAAGAGAGTCAGAGAGTAGTGAAGAGGTTGGGGAGGAACCTGGGCCAATCTTGGAGGATGAGGAGGGCTTGGACAAGGGCTCTGCATCGGAGGCAGAGATGGGGCCAGGACAGGCTGGCAGTCATTAGCTGCCTTCAGATTCAGACAGCAGTGAGACAGGGGAGCTCCTGGAACCGGTTCTCAGCCTGCGCATGCACAGGGTTACCAGAAGACAGGAACAATTGAGAAAGCAGGGAAGCAGGGTCAACTCCGGAGTAAGGCCACACCTAGGAGATGATTGGCCCCTCCCACAGGACATAAAAGAAGAGCAAACAGGACGTGAGCTTTTGCAGGAAGCAATTAGTTCATTTGGTCGATTCAAGCTTTGAAAAGTTCTATTTGACTCTGTATCAAGTTTGGCCTTACCCTGCATCTGGCAACTAGTTCTCTGGCAGCATTCCAAGTGCAACAAGGTGGGTGTTTATAAATATTCCCCCGAAAGAGTGTTTGTGAAGGTTTGCAGGCTGTGAATGAACGTAATTCACAGCCATGGAAATAAAAGAGGTTTTGCCAGAACTAAGATTGTGTTTTATGCTTTCTAAGGAAGCCTAGGCCAAAACAGGAACTGGCCATACCGACTTAATTTATTTGATAAATAAAAATCAATTCATGGTTTTTATTTGATGATGATGGTATCCATTCAGTTATGCCTAACTTCTGGAGATTCTATGGGACCAGGTCTCTCCACATCTTCCGATCCTGCACTATTTGCTTGAGATTTTCTATGCTCTTGCTGGTATTAGCTTTGATGCTGCCCAGCCACCATCTTCTTCTGCGTTTCCTTTTACCACTAACTCATCCAAACATAACTGCTTTCTCCACTGAATTCCCCACCGTGACATGTCCAAACTAAGTGAGATGAAGTTTTGTGATTTTGCCTTCCGGTGACATGTCTGGTGTTACACAACATGTCCAGTAGTTGCTTGTCAGTCACCTTTGCTTTCCAGAGAGGTTTTCATTTAGAACCCTGATACTTTCTAATTTTTGCAAAGCAAATGTTTTTGCATGGATTGTTTCAAAACAAATGCTGTCCCGAGGTGCTTTTTTCAAGAGGAAACTGGACTTTCTGCTTTTTCTTTGAAGATGTTTCGCTTTTCATCTAAGAAGCTTTTTCAGCTCTGACTGAAAGGCTGCTTCATGATCTAGCATACGGGTAGTCCTTGATTAATGACCACCAGTTCAGCCATCGTACAAAATCACAACAGTGCTGAACCAGTGGTGACTGTGACTGGTTCTCAAAGTTCTTATCATCCCAGCATCCCTATGGTCATGTAATCGCGATCTGGGCACTGTACATTTTCAACTTACGACTGGTTGCTTAGTGACTGTCCAAAATTGTAGCAGACCCCTCAAAAGGTACTTACGACCTGGTTCCAAAGATTTGATGCTTGCACGTTTTGAACATTTGGCAACAGGCCCACATGTAAGACATCCCACAGTCACAGGACTGCAATTTAGGTTTTTGCCAATAACCGCCATTTCCGGTTTTCGGCAAAACTGCACTGCACCATAGCAAACAAGGAGTTTCCTTAAACCCCACCCCACAAATAAGCTAATAAAATCAAGACAGTTGTGTGGGTGATCTGCTTAATGATCATCATTACGTCCGTAGTGAGCAGGCTCCATCACAGTTGTAAGTTGAGGAACATCTGCACAAACGTCGAGGCTCAAATCCCCCTTAAGACGTGAAGTCAGTCACTTTCAGGCAACCCGCCTCACAGGGTTGTTGTTGCAGAGATAGGAGGCAGAGAGCTCCCCTTATAAGCCACCGTGAGCCTTCAATGGGATATAAACTTAAACAGACATTGGATGAAGCCCAGCTGCGTTAAACCATGGCAGCAAGCTGGGCTGGGTTACAATTATGGTTTGTAAACTAAACCATAATGGCTTGTTCATGCATCAGATTCAGCTATAAGCCACTCAAACTAAGATGGATAGCAAATAAGTAAATAAGTAACTAACTAACTAACTAACGGCTCCCACCCCCTCTAATCAGTTGTGTCTGGTTTTCAGGGACTGCCTGGAAAAGTCCCTACAGTTTTCGTGGCAAGGATTTAAGTGGTTTGCTGCCATCTGCTTCCAAGGACTGTGAGTCACCCACCTGGCTTTGTACCTAAGGAGGGAAGCGAGGTGGGGGGGCTAGAATTCACAATCTCTCTGTTTCTAACCTGATGCCTTTAACACTACACTAACATGGCTCACTTTTGAAGTCATGGCTAGGAAGCCCCAAAGGCTGCCAAGTTCACACTGCATGCCAAATGTGAGCCAGCAGTATGCTGCAACTGCCAAAAAAGCCAATACAGACCTAGGCTATGTTAACAGAGAGATAGAATCAAGATCATGGGAAGTGCTAGTACTGCTTTGTAAGGCCTTGGTAGGACCACACTTGGAATAGGCATCCAGTTTTGGTCACCATATTATTAAAAAGCTGCAGAGACTCTGGAAAGAGTGCAGAGAAGAGCAACAAAGATGATCAGGGGACTGGAGGCTAAAACATATAAAGAACGGTTGCAGGAATTGGGTATGTTTAGTTTCGTGAAAAAGAACTGCTTGTGACATGATACCAGTAACAGTGTTCTGATATTTAAGGGGTTGCCACAAAGAAAAGGGAGTCAAGCTATTCTCCAAAGCACCTTGAAGCCTGGGCAAGCAGCAATGGAGAAAAATCAACCTAAAACTGAGGAGAAATTTCCTGACAGAACAACTGACCAGGGGAAAAGCTTGCCTTCAGAAATTGTGCAGAGGTTTTTAAGAAGAGATTGGGCAACCATTTTGTCTGAAATGGTATAGGCCAGAGTCTCCTGCTTGAGCAAGGGGTTGGACTAGTAGACCTTTAAGGTCCCTTCCAACTCTGTTGTTATTCTGCTATATAAACTCACACCTGTAGAAAATGTCCAGGCTGAGACTGACAGGGGTTAAAAGTCACGAGTCCCTTCGCGCATACAAGTCCAGCCCACCGTGAATTCCTTATTTACCACCAAATTGCTTGAACGGTTAGTAGTTCAGATTCTTATATAGAGGGCTTAAGCTTACAATAAATCTTTATACCTATCTGAACTGCCTGGATCGCCTGACTTCCCTGGCGCTCGACAATACCGGTTCACTGCACTTGAAGACAGCATGTGAACCCCCACTCCTGGGTCTCCCCAAAACTCACAACTTCCCCCAGCACGTCTTTTGCAGATGGACGTCATCTTACCTTCCTTATCCGCAAAGTCGGGAAGCCAGCCTCCTCCATCTCCATCTCTACATGGGTCAGGCTCTCTTTTCAGTTCCCAAGGAACACAATCCAGAGGAGGTTCGCTGGCCTTTCCGGGCTCTCTCCCACTCACGCACTGTGACTTTTCCAGGGAGGGTTCCTGAGTGGCCAGGATCTGCTTGGAGCAAGCGGCTTCCAAGCGCAGGGAGCACCTGGCGCCCCTGGAGGGTTGCTGCCATTTCTTCCGTTTCCGTGCCTCTCGCTTGGCCGGGAGAGCATTTGCCGGCTGGGAGGAAAACCCTTCGAGGGCAGGTCCCAGCAAATTCCTCCGCAGTTTTGAAGCAGCCTCGTCTCTTCCCTTGGCTGGCGGGAATCTGGGGCAGCACTTGCGAGAAGTAGAGTCCGGGGTGCTGGTTCTCACCGGTCGGTTTGAAGGCGCCTTCTTGCCAGATGGACCGCCAATTTGCTGATGCACCTTGGAAGCCAGGGGAGACCTCTGGGTGAGTTGGGGTGATGCTGCCACACTCTGGGAGATGTTTGGCTTTGGGGCTTTCCAAACTCTGCCCACCTCCAAGGCTGGCTTCCTGACACCTGGAAGGACTCCTGATGCAGACAAAGGAGGTTTGCAGGTAGACAGGTGATTGGTTCTCGATGCCAAAGGTCTCAGTGATGTGGCTGGAGAATCTGAAAGGGTCCAACGCGGGCTTCTTCGGGGAGAAAGGGGTTCCTGGGGCGCTGAAGATTGTTCCTGATGTCCTTTCCCGTTTGACGCCTCTTCATTCCTTCCCCTAAAAGAGTCGGGACCTTTAGGGGCTGCCTGTTCCTTCATGATCTCCAGCAATTCTCGCAAGGCTCGACGATAAGTCAACTCTTCTATCACCTTCTGGGTTTCGTTGCTTGGACCTGGAAAGAGAGTCAACAGTGACCAGCGGGGGGTGTTATTTATATTTATCCAATTTATGTGCTGCCCATCTCACCTGGAGACGACTCTAGCTGGCTCACAACCAGTAAAAACCAATTTAAAAAAACATTAAAGCAAATAAATAGTAACATTAGTTTAAAATGGAGAAAGATGGGAAGGAAAGAGCAAGATGCCCACGGGGAGAGGCAGGGTCTTGTCTTAGTCTGTTAACCACCTCCAGAAGGATGCACACCCATTGGTGCTCCAGGGCAGTTTGGAGAGCCAAGCCTTCAGCCTTTTCGGAAGGGCAGGAGAATGGGGAAGGCCAATCCTCTTGAGGTGAGACTGTTCACCACATAACCTGGACCCTTGCCCTGCGGGGTTTTAAAGGTAATAATCAAAATGTTGAATTGCACCCAGAAGCAAACCAGCAGCCAGAACAGCTTATGAAACATTGGTGTAACATGGGCCACCCTATAGGTCCCAAGAACCGTCTGCGCGCCTGCATTCCACGCCAGTTGTAGCTTCTGAATACTCTTCAAGGGTAGCCCCATGGACAGCATGATGCAACAGTCCAGGAGAAGGGGTGAGCAAGGTTTGAATGACCAAGCACGGGAACTCCTGTTCCAGGAATTCAGACTGTGAAGGAAAGAGTTGGTCAAAAGAAGGTAAGAGCTTCTATGTTTGGGGTGATTGACTTCTTCTCTCCTTGAGGGCTTTAGATAAAGAAGTAATTAAATAGTATTTTAAAAATGCACACACACACACACACCATTTTTTCTTAAGTCTGATGGTTTGGCACAGTCATAATTGCCCTGGAAACCATTTTGGACAAAGAAAATACTTTAAATAATGTGATTGGCATAACTTGGGAAATAGTGTGAGCTCAGTTCTTGAGCACAGCAAAAAAGTGAATCACACCATTTTTTTTTTGCTTCCCAGTGTAAATATAGGTTATATTTATGGTACACTGTAGTCTATTAAGTGTACAATGGCATGTCTATGCCACTAACACTGTCATTCACATAACTTTTAACTGGGCAAAACGGTGCGTCATAGATCAACACTTTTTGAACCAAGGTAGATCAAATGGGTTAACTTACAGAATGAATCCAAAAATCTGGAATCTGGACTTCCATGGAACTGAAATATGGCCAATTTTATGAAACATTTTGACATAAAAATGGTCATACCACATTTTATGACATAACATAAAATGTCATAAAACATTTCCTGGGGTCAACTGCAGGATAATTTACAGCTTCCTATTACACCGGCCTGACCCCATCCTTCCAAGGCTTTTCCCTTAAGTTCCCAAATGGGAAACAGAGAGCAAAGGGCAGGGGGGGAGAGAGGCCTTATGCTTAATCTGTGGAACTCCCTGTCTCTGGAGGGCAAGTTAGCACTCCCTTGGGTTTTTTTTTCCTCATCCACTGGCTAAACCTTCAGCATTTTTTTTCCAAAGTAAATTTTTATTAAACGTATTTCAACTAAAACACCACATTTACACTCATTACAGTGTTCAGGTAACGGTATTCACTCGTATTGACATAGTTGTTACTATTCTACGTTAGTTTTTTCTACTTTTAACTTATAGCAGTAGATACAAATATATATATATATATACAATATTTTTCCATTTTACTAAAACTCCTATGTATTCTTCATGTAACAACTTTACGTCTATTCTCTAGCCACTGGTACCATTCCAGACCTTAGAGTATTCTGTTTCTTCTCTGTCTTTTAACCATAGTTAACCTGTCCATCTCTGCACACTCAAGAACCTTTCTTATTATCGTTGCATTATCTTGTTTCAAATTTTGAGTGAAGGCAATTCTGGCCACGGTTATTATATGTAACATAATGTATTGCAGCTTTTTGCAAGTCTTTTGTCTTAATACGCCCAATAAAAATAGTTCTGGTTTCTTCTCAATGTTTTGTTTAGTAATTTCTTCTAACCAATTCTTTACTTTGAGCCAGTATTTCCTAGCTTTTGGACAGGTCCACCACATGTGAAAGTGAGTTCCTTGCTTATAGTTACATCTCCAGCATTTCACTGATCTGTTTGGAAACATTATGGCCTATCTTGCCGGGGGTAAATGCCAACAGTAGAACATTTTGTACAGATTTTCTTTGAAGGCTGCTGACATTGTTAATTTGTAATTTTTCTCCCACAATTTTTTCCAGTGTTCCAATTCAATACTATATCCAAAATTTTTGGCCCAGTTTATCATAGTCTCTTTAACTGTTTCTTCATTTTAAATCTTTAAAAAATAGTTATGTTTTAGTAATAATTTTCCCGCCTGTCCCCTGTAATATTTTATCCAATTCCTGTTTGTCTTTATAAAAGCCATATTGTTCTAAATAGTTTTTGTATGTTGTCCAAATTTGCAGATATAGCCACCAATCTATCTCAATTCCTCGGGCCTTTAACTCTTGATTTGATATTATTCATGGGATTCCATGAGGTCCTGGTGTTTTTTTGTTTTTTAATTGTCTCCTTCATTTCCGTCATAGTAATTTTATCATTCAGCATTTCTCTTTCTCTATGTGCATTGACATAAACTGCCAAGGGAAGTTCACGTGAGGTTTGCAAGGAAAAGAACTAGGGATAAAGTTTATGGGAGGACAAGAGATAAACCACTGGTCTACAAGGGAAGGAACTTGTGACTTTGCCTTCAAGAGGTCCATATTAAGAAACAACACGGTGGCATTCTAGAATTCCCTAAAATAGGGTAACGCCATTTGGCTTTGGCACCAAAAAAAAAAGAGAGGTATGGCAGTATATATAAAAGAATGGTTGAAACCAAAAGAGATTTATGTGGATAAAGACGGAAGAATCTTATTGACAGAAATAAAAACAAGCCAAAAGAGAATGTTGCCAGCAGTAATATACATACCAAATACAAAATTCTACTGTAAGTTACACCAGAAAATGATAGAGTCAGAGCAGGAGAATGTATGTTTAATAGGAGATTTTAATGTGGTGGTAGACACTAAGAAAGATTATATAAGTAATTAAAAAAACAAGAAGAGAAGAACATTACCAGATATATTCTTTAAAATGGCACAAGAGTTAAACTTAAAAGATACACGGAGAGAACTAAATCTGCAGGAGAGACAATACACTTTCTTTTCTAACCCCTACAATTCTTGGTCAAGAATAGATATGATGTGGATGGATCTGGAACTGGGAGAGGACATAGATGAACTAGATATAATGTCCAATACATGGGCAGATCATAATCCTTGAAAAGTGAAATGGAAGGGGGGGAAAAGAGAGGGAAGTGGACTCTAAACCAGAGAATTCTGAAAGAAAAAAGTATGTGCAAATGTTGGAAAAAGAATTGGAATTATTCCTCAATGTAAATTTGAAAGAACATACAACGTTACAAAACTTATGGGATACAACTAAAGTCTACATCTGGGGCTTAACAATAGCTTATGTGGCTCGAAGGAACAAGGAAAGGAAGAAACAACAAACAACATTGCAGGGAAGCTTAAAGAACTGGAATCTATAATGAAAAAGAACCCCAAAATGAGAAAATTAGAGGAGAAAGAGATATGATCAAGCACAAAATAAACTTAATTATCACAAGGAGAAATGGCACGGAACCTTAGATTAACGAAACAAAACTACTCTGAGCACACGAATAAACCAGGGAGATGCTGGCTTATAAATTGAAGGAGAAAAAGAAAAAATTAATACAATAGCTGCAAGATGAGAATGGGACCATTGATCACTAGATAGAAGGGAAAAAAAACATTGCCTCAAAAATTTTTAAGACCTTATATAGCCAAGAGAATATTCGGGAAGAAAATATCAAGCAATATTTAAATGAGAGGGGATTATCTGCAATATTGGAAACTTTTCAGCATTTTAAAAAGATGTATTTGAAGAAATATATTCCCTGCTGTATCATCCCAACCTTATTGAATAATCTTTTCTGTCACCATTTTGAATCCTGTAGAATCTGTCTGTCTATATGTATCTTTCTATGTATCTATTTATCTATCCATTTATGTATATGTGTCTGTCTGTCTATCTATCTATCTATCTATCTATCTATCTATCTATCTATCTATCTATCTATCTATCTATCTATCTATCCTGTCTGTCTATCCATCCATGCATCTATCGATCTATTATCATCTGTCAAGTCACCCATCCCCCTCACTGAGGCAATCTTGGTGGTATACAAATAAAATATTAAAAACCTTAAACAATTAAAAAGGGGCAAGAGATGTAAAAAATTAAAATGTGTGGGGAGAGCTTTCAGGGTTCTAACCAGCTCCACCATGGCTGCTTCTTAGTACACCTCAAGAAAGGCCGCAAAACCATATTTCCACAGCCTTCCGGAAGGCCAGGAGAGCGGAAACCCACCTAACCTCTTGGAGGGGGGGTGAGATAATGTTTGACAGGGCGGGGGAGATGAGGGAGAAATTCTGCAGTGGTTTCTACCCTGGCTGGGGAATTCTGGGAATTGAAGTACACACACATCAAACTTGAGAAGGTTGGAAAGCACCAGATATATGGAAGAGATGGGGTGGGGGTGGGGAGAAATGTTTTTGCTACTGATCCCTCAGAACAACTTGCTTTTTAATGTTGTGGTTTTCCTGTTTTTTATCTTGTGAAGCTGCTCAAGAGTCCTTTTTGGAGTTGGGTGGCCTAAGAACTGAATAAATTAAGGGAAAAATGCAGGCAGGCTTACAAAAGGAAGCACACATGACCCCTATTTAACCAGAAGAATTCACTAGCTGAAGATATGGCCCTGTCAGGAATTTGGATAATATCAAAAATGTATAAAGGGACCTCCAGTCAATGCTGGAAATGTGGGGGGGGGGGGGAATGAAGGGGCATTTTATCACGTAGGGAGGACTTGTGAAAAACCCAAGAAACTTTGGATATAAATATACCAACAATACAAATAATTTTAAAGATTCATATTGTAACAAAAAGAACACCCTGGAGGTTTTTTATTGGGACTTATGGATACTAAATTATAAAAGACTCACAGAAGATTAATTTTTTGTATGATAATGGCACAAAGGTTATTAAATGCACGAAGATAGAAGAATAGTGAAATTCCCACAACGCAGAGATTGTTAAAATGATAGAAATTGCTCAGGGAGAAAACAACAAGTGCTTTTTTTGAAAAGACTAGAAATATTTTACCGTCTTTTTATTAAAGGAAGCCAAAATATTAATATGGATTTATTAAGTGAAACACATAATAATTAAAGGGTTGAAGGGATGTTTGGAAGAGGTAAGAGGGAGGAGATACATTATATTCGTTAATAACTGTGGAAGAGAAAGTAGGAAGTCATTATATTTCATAACTTTAGTTGTATTTTCTTGCACTTCTTTCTTTCCTCTTTTTTGTTTTCCCTCTCTTTTTTTAGATTTGCTTTTTACTTTATGTAAAATTCTCAATAAATACAAATAAGTAAAAGAATTTGGATGGCTATCCAAGAGATAGGAAGAATTTATGAGGGAGGGCAGATCTATCAAGAGGTTAGAGTCGCCTTGAACCATGAGATGGGCAACAAATACATTTGATAATAATAATAATGTCCATCTGATCATTCAAGGGCCAAATCCAGTTTGAGCATCTGACTGACGGTGCAATGAATCAAACTAATAATAACCATTATTACTGGTCAAACACAAAATGCAGCTTTACGTGGAATAGCTTACATTCTGTGGTGGCTCCCTCTCTCTGGAATATCATCCCCCCAGAGATGAGAATTAGAATACCTTTATTGTCATTGCATTCAAAATACAATAAAATTTGAAATTATACGCCCCCCACTCTTAATACTCTTCCGGAAGGCGCTGAAGAGCTGGTTCTGCCAGTGGGCCTGGGGAACCCAGAGCAGGATGGAGCCCATGAAATGGCTTGTGTGATTTGCTGTCGCTGGGCGGGGGGTGATTTTGTTATATTGCACTATATTAATTTATTTGATTCTTTTTTGTTAGTTGTTATTGTTTTAAATGTGGTTTTATATTCTGTAAGCTGCCTTGAGTCGCCATGGGTGGCAGTATAAATGCAATAAATAAATAAATAAATCCTGCAATGATATTTATATATGTATAACACAGCAGTAAAAATGCCAAATCCAGACTGAACATCTGGCTGACTGTGCAACAAGCCATAATAATATTGATCCTAAGGCAGGGATGTCCAAACTTTTTGCAAGAAGGGTCAGATTTGGTGAGGTGAAAATGCGTGGGAGCCGACCATTCAGCCTGACATTGATGGGAACCACTGTGCGGTGAAGGGAAAATGCTGGCCAGTGGGGATGAGTGACAGGCTGAGCCGGCAAGGAAAAGTGGCTGTGGGCCACTGGAAATTTGAAAACAGGCTGCAATTGGCCCCCAGGCTGGACTTTGGACATGCCTCTCCTAAGGGATTCAGAATTAACCCCAAGCTTGTCATCCCCAGTTTTATTTTTATTTTATTTATTTATTTTATTTTGTCAAGCGATTATTGGATAACAGGTATAAGTATAAACATGGTTATGAATACATGAAATGCATACGAATAAGAAAATAAAAAGAAACAATAGAACGGGGACGGTAGGCACATTGGTGCGCTTATGCACACCCCCTACAGACCTCTTAGGAAAAGGGTGAGGTCAATAGTAGACAGTCTTAAGGTTAAAGTTTTGGGGGTTTGTTGCAGAGAAGCAACAGAGGGAGAACATTAAAGTTTTGTTTCCTGTTTAGGACTAACTTTCGGCCATTCCTTCAGTCTCAGCCCAAGTCTCCTCATAGGTGCTGGTTGTGAGAAAATAGGCAAAGGGAGTGTTAAGTACATTACCTTGAACTGTGCAGGTCTTCACCTTACCACCACAACTGAGCCCAAAATTTTTGTTGCTAAGTGAGACAACTGAGAGGCTTTTGCCTCCTTTTATGATCTTTTTTGCCACCGTTGTTAACAGAAGCACTGCAGTTTTTCAGTTAGTAACACAGTTGTAAAGTGAATCTGGCTTCCCCATTAACTTTGCTTGGTCAGAAGGTCTCAAAAGGTGATCACATGACCACCGGGCACTGCGACCGTCATAAATATGACTCATTTGCCAAGTAGCTGAGTTTTGATCATGTGATCAAAATGTGGGGACCCTGCAATGGTTGTTAAGTGTGAAAAACAGTCATAAGTCACTTTTTTCAACGCCGCTGTAATTCAAATGGTCACTAAATGAACTATTGTAAGTCGAGGATTACCTGTACCTGTACAGGTAATACTCCACACTGGGGAAAAAAAATAGGATACACCTTAGCCTGAACCACCAAGGCGATTTTATTGCTTCCTAATTTATTTTTTCTCATAGGTAGCCCCTCAATTTATGACCAATGGCTCAGCAATCATTTGAAGTTCTGATGGACCTCCCTGGAGTTATGATCTGGTTATGAAATTCCGACGGCCATTTTCCCCTGCGGTCATGTGACCACACTTTGAGTGCTTGATAACCAGTTTATTCATTTATGGCTGTCTGCAACATCCCATGGTCACGTGACGGGGTGTTATGATGTTTTTGCTGAAAACTGGCATTCATGTCCAGTCCCAAAAAAGTCATAAAATCAAGACACATTTTACAACTGTGATTGGCTGGCTCTATTACGGTCATAAGTCAAGGATTACCTATACTGGGCTGCTTCTTTTCCTCTTAAGCTGCCGTTTGTATACAGGTTGTGTCCGCGGTTAAGAACAACAGAGCAACGAAGTTGGAAGGTCTTCTAATTTAGTCTAGTCTAACCTCCTGCTCCAACAGGAAACCCTATACCATTTCAGGCAAATGGTTGTCCAGTCTCTTCTTAAAAACCTCCAGTGTTGGGAGGAAGAATGTGTTCTGTTCCTAAATCTGTTTTTAATCTTAAAGACAAACTCCAGTTTGTATGTAGGTTGGAACTGGCATTTACGAATGGACTGCCTTCTACTAAAAAGAGTAGATGGCATTGATCTTCCTTAAGCCAACAAACCACTAAAGCCACACAATGCTTTCAGGAACTGCTGAAAACCGGATGCATATTAAAAACACACAGCAATTCTTGGTTCCTGCAAGCACTTCAGCAGTTTGTCAGCTCGAGGAAGGGGAACACTGCCTGTAATTTTATTTATTTATTTATTTATTTATATATATATATATATATATATATATATATATATATATATGTGTGTGTGTGTGTGTGTGTGTGTGTGTGTGTGTGTATGTATATGTATATGCACATAAATAAATAAATAAATAAATAAATAAATAAATAAATATAAGCTCGATACCTGTGCTTTGCTACAAAACTATGTGGTCGGGCATAGTTTTTGGGGAGGAAAATAAAGGAGGGGGGGGGAATTCTGCCTCTGCCTACCAGCATCCATCAGTATTCAGCTGGCTAGCATCCTGTCAGTGAGAGAGTTGAAGGCTGTTTAGAAACTGAAGCAGTATTTGCTGTGTGAACAAGGAGACAGCAAGGAGCCTGGGCGTGGCTTAGCTCAACTGTTCTGTATTAAAGCTATTTGCTGCTGTGAAACTAAAACTGAAACTCTTCTCTTCTGCATGTGTTTTGCATTTGGAACAGATTTATTTTCAGGTGGGGGAGTGGGAGTAGAACTCCTTAGCATCAGAGCATGTTATTAATAATATAGGAAATACTAATGCTCTGATGGTCATTTTGAAAATCCTTTTTTATTGAGTATATATATATATATGTATGTATGTATGTATATATCTTCCTCCCTCTCTCTCTCCAGTCCATTAGGATCGATGACATAATTTCATTCCTGAGTTTACCATCCCTTTATTCCTTTTTTTGGGAATCAGTTCTTTTACAGATGCAAATCAGTGTTATAAAACAAAACTCATTGTAAGTTTTTTGGCAAAGAAGACACCTAAACACAGCAGAATCAAGATAACTGTTTTTAACAGAGTTTGCTTGTCTTTAGCTAGTTAAGTCTAGCCCGAGATTTTTGGGCCCCTCGTTATCTAGATGACTTAGGAAAACAGACAACATGCAGGATTTCATGGCCACGGCTGAACAAATAAAAGAAAAACATACCCAATTTATCTGCAATCTCTTCAATGCTTTGTACTGTCACAGGTACAATATGGGCAAAACGCATGGTAACCCTTGAAAAAAGGAGAAAGAAAAGCGTTAAAATTTTGATTTTACGTGGTCAAGAATGCTTTAGTTCAACAGCTGTGAATAAATAAATAAATTACTTCTAACCCTATCCTTCTTGAGCAACTCAACAATACCACTTTCCCTCACTTAGCATTGTCTTTGATAGGATTTCAATTCTAAGATTGTCAACATTTTGCCAGTAAATAGCTGTGACCATTCCTGCTTGTGCTGAATAACATCCCATAAGGAATTTATTTATTTAAAAACAAAAAACAAAAACAGAGGGCAGACCAGGATCTGGGGGCTTTAACGGATTTATTTTGCAAATCAAACTGACTGGTGAAATAGACGTAAAAAAGCAGCGTAAAAGGCTGCAAATTCTCAGAAACTTAACTGTTTATTTTCAGCAATAATTTTGAGCCGAATGGAACCGAGCTTCTCAGGAAGCAGACGCCCTCTGGAACTCTGGCTTCTAGACAAGATCTGGAAGGTGGAAGAAAAAGTATGGATTTTTTTTTTTTTAAAGGTCCAGATTCCAAGAAACAGAAAATCCAGAGAACTGCAGCAGAGAAGTAGAAACGTATTTCTATTGTGAGAAATGCACAACAGAGAGAGTTGAGTTTTTGTTTTTTGTTTTAAAAGTTCTTCAGAACTCTCAAAGCCAGAAACTTTCCCTTCCAATGTGGGTGTGGAAGAAAAAAAAACAAACCCTGAAAATTGATAGCCCATTGTGAGAAAATAATCAAGATGTGGGGAAGAAGAGCATGTGATATTTTAGTCAGATTCTGAAATACAGCTGACGGTCCAACATGAAAATGCAGGAGACAAGGAAATTCACCTGGGGACTCCATGTGTGTACATATAATTTTCTTGGCAACAATATGAGCAAAACAAGCAATACTGTTTGGTCTAGTGGTTAAGGTACCAGGCTAAAAGCCAGGAGACTGAGTTCTAATCCTGTTTCAGGCACAAAAGCCAGCTGGGAGCCAATTTTACCAGGAGATAAATATTAGTCCTGCCTTCGGCAAGAAAACTGGCTAGCAGACTTTGGCCAGTCACTCTAAGAGTGACGTGGGTTGTTGTTGTGGAGAAAATAAGATGAGGAAGAAATATTAGATATATTCTCTGCTTTGGGTTACTTGTAAAGTAATAAAGAAGGCGGGATAAAAATCAGATAAGCATAGTGTCTTGCTAGAACCCCCACACAGTGGCACATCTGGTTGGCCTTTGCAGAATCCTAAACAGGGTTGGGCCTGTTTCATTGTTGAGATGGGAGATCACTGTGAAATCTTAAGACTGGTAGCCTGGACTTGAAAGGAAAACAAATACATCAGTATATAAATAAATGAAAATGTGTCCTAGAAAGCAGAGCTACAGACCACTTGTATGATTGCCAAGAGGTCCATGAAACCAGGAATCACGTCTGTCTCGAGGGAATGTTTTCTTTGTAGTAAGCTGTCACAAACCATGATTGCACTCTGTGGGATTTGCAGAAGTAGTAGTTCATGTCGCCTACATGCCAATGTTATTTACCACTCAAATTATGGACAACTGGATTGGAAATGACACCCTTCTAATAGAGGGAAGCCTTTTAGCATAACAGGTTGACCCTTTGACTTTGATTAACTATAGTTTGCAACAAGAAACAAAACGAAAACAAAATGCTTTGGGTTTTGTTTGCAACAAAACCCAAAACGAAATACAGTTGAACTGCCACCTCTGTTCGAATGGTACGGTATTTTTAGCCAATCTGGATACGTCTCTTCCCCAAATCAGAAATAATCAAGGTTGGGCTATTACATACCTGTGCTGGCCATAGCCGCTTTTTCCACTTGCAAAAGACATATTCTCCTTCACTCATCATCATCCTTGGTGGATGTCAGTTGGGGATCCAGCTTAAAGGCTTGCCAGCAAAGATGTTCTAGGTTACAGTAACAAAACAAATCATTGTACAGATAGTCCTCGACTTACAACAGTTCATTTAACGATTGTTCGAAATTACAATGGCCGTGAAAAAAGTGAGTTATGACAATTTTTCACATCTACAACCGTTGCAGCATCCCTGTGGGCACATGATCAAAATTTGGATGCTTGGCAACTGACTCATATTTACGATGGCCGCAATGTCTCAGGGCCATGTGATCCCCTTTTGTGACCTGAGAAGCAAGGTCAGTGGGGAAGCCAGATTCACTTAACAACCTTGTTATTAACTTAACAATTGCAGCGATTCACGTAACAACTGTGGCAAGGAAAGTCATAATATGGAGCAAAATTTACTTAACAATTGTCTTGCTTATCAACAGAAATTTTGGGCTCAACTGTGTTGTACGTCATGCACTACCTGTACTCCATTCCATAAAATATTCCTCACTGGTAGCATCCACAGTCATTTTTATTCTACCTTTTTTCTACATCAACCCCAAGGAATTCCACTAATAAAAATATTTATTTATTCACACGGATACGCCAGAAAATATTTAGAATCATACAATCGCAGGGTTGGAAGACGGCTTGAAGGTCTTCTAGTCCATGCTCAAGGCATGGTTCTCCTGATCAAATGGTTCTCCTGTCGTTGCTTGAAAATCTCCAGTGATGGAGCACCTCCAACTCCAACAGTTCCATTATTTTATTTGTATCCTGCCCTTACTGTTTTTACGAATAACTGAAGGTAACGAACATCGGCAACACACCTTCATCCTCCTATTTTCCTAACAACAGCAACCCTGTGTGATGGACTGAGAGAGAGTGAGGTGAGTGACTGGCCCTCTTGCCCACTTGGCTTTCATAGTTATGGTGGGTTAATTGTTCGTTTCTTAAATTTCTCCTTAGTTTCAGGTTCCATCTTTCTTAAAGGAGTTCCACCCACTACTTCTTGTCCTGCCCTCTAGTGCTTTGAAGAATGGGTCGAGTGGATCCTCTTTCCTCCGTGACAACCCCTCAAGTACTGGATGGCAGCTGTCATGTCACCTCTAATCCTTCTCTTTGATCTGCACCACAAAGCAGCAAAGGTGGTTAGGCTGGAATAGAACGGATTGGCCCAAACCCATGAACTGTAATATGTTTGGCCAAGTTGCAATGCAGGATCTTTGACCAGAGGAGACTTCTAAACCAACAGCAGAAACTCATTCCGGCTGCAACTGCCCAAGCAACCGACAGCAGCCCCAGCAGAATTCTGCCTACCTGACTGGTTTGAAAACCAAGAGGGTTTGATTAAAATTTAGATGTCCAACAGGAACCCCAGATACTACACAGAAATATAATCCTTTTGATTTTTTAAAAATCCTATCTTTATTATTTTTATAAATAACACTGCAGCAAACATACCTAATATTTTTTCCTCCTGGGAAAAGCTAGTAACTTAGGAGATGAAAAACTTGAGTGAAGAAAAATATGCAAGATAAAAATCTAAAACAAACTTCCAGAATGCCAAACAAGTAGATATTTGCATATTTTCATGGCTAAGTGTATTAATTGAAATAAGTGGAAGGGCGCCGATTAATGACACACGCATTGTTCTTCCATTTGGAAAGCAGCACGTCAGATGAGGATTATATCAGAAACAACTACATGAGATGGCATAAATAAGAAGAAAATATGCCCGCTGGGGTAAGAGAAAATGTGTACTGGGAAGGCCCCTTCGCGTGTTAAAAAATAGGGAAGCATTGCAAAATCACCTCACTTTCAACTACATCATGCACTATATATTTATATCAAAATAAAGGTAGCCCTTGGAATTGGGACTTAGCCACAAAGTGAAATCACTAATATCCCTACCATCTTATGCCTGCTTTCTTTTGCTGTACCGCCCTGGGAAAGCTCATAAAGGCGAGAAGGCTGGTGGCGCTTTGTCATCCCTGTCGTAAACTGCGAAAAGCTGCTGTCTGAGGCAGTCACTAAACAAGGCCTGCCTGCACTAGTTTCCATGCACTTGGTGAAAGAGGTGCAGTGTGAGGCGAGGGGGATGTTATGCATCCAACGAATATTTTTGTTTTCTTTCCAAATCTCATTCTCCCCAGCTGGAAGGACTATACCCCGCACCCTCCCACATCAGAGGAAGCTGAGAGAAGGAAGATCCACCAGTGTTTCTCCACTTGGGCCATTTAAACAGGTGTGCACTTCAACTCCCACAATTCCCCAAAGATGAGGCCAAGGTACCCCTTAACCCAGTGGTGGAGAACTATGGCCCTTTTAGGACTTGTGGACTTCAACTCCCAGAATTCCTGAGCCGGCATGGCTGGCTCAGGAATTCTGGGAGTTGAAGTCCACAAGTCCTAAAAGGGTCATAGATCCCCATTCCTGCCTTAACCACAAGGGCAACCCTCCGTTTTTTTGTTTTAGTTTCCCCTCTAAAGAAGAAACTACCCTCCCTCTAAAGAAGAAGCTACCCAAGTTACTGAGGAAGGTTGGAGGAACGTGAAGTAAGGCAACCCACCCTCATGGAGTGGAGCAGGAGGGGGAAATAGCCACAGGTTAGCCATATTTAGGGAGGAAGGCAAGTCTTCTTCCTCTCTACCCAGGGAAGCAGCCCCCTCGCCAGGACAATCACCGCACCTCTTCTTCTTTTCCTTCCGTTTCCCCACCACTACTAAATTGGAGAAAGCGGGACTCGAACTTACCACACCCAAAGCTTCGCCCTTCTCTTCTCGGTCGCATTTGGGAACTGCAATGCATAGCCCCGCCCCTTCCTTTCCGCCCCGCCCCCTCCTCCTCCAGACTGTTTAGGCCGATAACTGGGGCTGGCCACGCCCCTCCGCCTTTTCTAGTCGAGCCCCACCTCTCTCAACCTCACTCGGACTCTGCATTGGGCAGGGGTATCCCGCCCTTCGCCTTCCAGCTCGGGAACTTCCGGATTCTTCCGCCCTTTCCTCATTTGTCACGAGTCTCCTCCCACTCATTAAAGCGGGGCCAATCGTCTCGAAGGATTGGTTCCCTCCTTTCTCTTCCCCCCTCCCCCAAACCCCTGATAGCAACTCAGATACAACGCGAGGGGCGGGGCTTAGCGGAAGAGTCAGCACATGGCTCATTTAAGGGGACAAAATGCATCTGCGCGTTTGATGACAGAGGGACAAGTCAATCCGATGTGAGGCTGTCCTTCCTTCCCCTTCCTTCCCACCAATCAGAATGGAAAGCGAAATGTCAATCTCAGGCTCAATTTTGACCGCCTTTCGCTTCTCTAACGACCGCTGGACCTCCAGATCTTTGCGCGAGACACAGCTGTTACGCGCCCTTTGCGGAGGCGGCGCCAGACAAAGCAGCCAATCACAAACGCCCCTTTGGTTAAGCATTGCCTCCTGAATGGACGCTGCATCCATCACACTCGCTTTATTCCCGCCCTACCAGATTCCTCCCCCCCCCTCATTTTCTTATCCCAGAAGTTTTCTGAGTGAACGTTGGGTTAGGATACCATCGTATTTAGGTTCATGCAACACAATGAAAGCACAATTAAAAGTGGAGTGGATGCAGTGCACACTACAATAACTTTATGTAATGTTTTCCCTTTGCAAGTTGTAGGAAGCGAATTCATTTAGTGACAGTTGGAAGTTACAGCCACACTGAAAAAAAAGTGTGACTGGACAGCTGCAGCATTCTGATTGATGGTCATGTGTTCAAAATTCAGATGCTTGGCAACTGACTCATATTTATGACGGTTGCAGTGTCCTGGGTCTGTGTGATCCCCTGTGTGATCCCCTGGGTCTGTGTGATTTCCCCTTTGGAGACCTAACAAGCAAAGTCAATGGGAAAGCCAGATTCACTTAATGACTGTAAGTCATTTAATAATGGCAGTGATTTGTTTAACAAGGGTACCGAAAAAGGTCATAAAATCAAGTGTCACTCACTTAACAACCATCTTGCTTTAGCAAAAAAAAATGAAGCTTTAGGCATCTAAAACAGTGGTCGCTGACCTGTGAGCCGGGGACCACTCGTGGTCCGCAAGAAAATTTTGATGGTCCGCAGAGAAATGTCACCCCCAAAGCACCCCCCAAAACAGGCTGCGCGGGAACACAAGGCTGCGCCTCCCACATGGCCCATGGGAGAACAAGGCGTGCGTCGCTTGCATTGCGAATAACATGAGGTAGTGAGGGGAGGGGGGGAAGGGTGGAGGGGGGAACTTGCCCCACATGCCTCACCTGGCCACTGGGCTGCTTCTTTCCACTTTTTCTTCTTCTGCTTTTTGCTGCATGCAAGGAAAGCAGCAAAAATCTTTCTTTCTCTCCCCCAAACTCTGCCAGAAATGAGTCTTTGGGACCCTACAAGGCATCCTGCTCCAAGTGGCTGTGCAAGTATGACAAGTCTCACAAAGACTCATTTCTGATGGAGTTTGGGGGAGAGAAAGAAAGACTTCTGTTGCTTCTGCTGCTTTCCTTGCATGAAGCCAAAAGTATCTCTCTTTCTCCCACTGAGAACGGAGCTGGAGACGGTATCCTGCGATCCCAAATAAAGAATGATTGACTGGTAGGAAAATGGGGTGGGGAATTTTCCTGTAGACTTTTTGGGGATTTTCCCAGGGTCTCTGGTCTGCAGGATTTAAAATTATGAGTTTGGTGGTCCCTGATCAAAAGGTTGGTGACCCCTGATCTAGAACAGATAGTTCTTGCCTAACAATCACATTTTTGTTGCTAACATAGCTGTTGAGTTCTGCCCCATTTTACAAGCTTTCTTACCACAGTTGTTATAGCAATACCACTTAAGACTTATATACCGCTTCGTAGTGCTTTACAGCCCTCTCTAAGCGGATTAGAGTCAGTATATCGGCCCCAACAATCTGTGTCCTCATTTCACCGACTTCAGAAGGATGGAAGCAGAGCGGGTTTTCAGCGGGTTCTGACCAGTTCTGGAGAACCGGTAGCAGAAATTTTGAGTATGGAGAACCGGCAAATTAGGAACAAGAAAAACAATCTAATAAAAAGCACCACAACAAACCCCACCTGGTGTCCTTAAATCACTTCCACAATTTTACACTCATCGGGATTCTTGGATTAATGTATTTATTTTTAACACGTAACACAAAACAGTATCTTGGTTAATTGAAAACATAATTGTATTCACAAGCCCTTTAGGATTATGGTCTTCGTAGGAAGCATACAATTTTTCAGTGATGTATTTCCCCAACCTTTTATTAACCTATGTAAATAGCATGTAAAATCTTTCATTTACGACATTTATACCACACTTTTCTTCCAGTGGTAACCCAAGTTTTTTAAAAATCTTATGTAGTGGTAGTGGTGAGAATGCCTCCCTAGCCTAAGCTGGAGTTGGAGGGAAACTACAGGCAGTCCTCAACTTATGACCATTCCTTTAAGGACCATTCAAAATTATGATGGCGTTGAAAAAACTTACTTACGACCGGTCCTCACACATACGACCATTGCTAAATACCTGTTGTCACGTGATCAAAATTCAGACATTGAACAATTGTCATATATATTTTTACATTGCCTTTTGCAAATTTCTCGGAGGGAGTGTGGGGGCGGGGTCCAAGAAACCAAGTCAATGGAAGAAGCTGGATTTGCTTAATGACCGTGGCAAAAAAAAAAAAAGGGTTACAAATCGGGCATGGCTCACTTAACAATGACATTGCTTACCGAAGGACAGCCTGATCCCAACTGTGGTCATAAGCTGAGTCCTACCTGTATAGAGTTCCCTAGATCCAACGTAATATTTTACCTTGTTCAGTATATCACAGTTTTTATAGCATCCCTGTTAACGTTCTGGACATAATCAAGTTCAATCAATACACTTATTGGATGTTCCCTCCACCCCACCCGGTCCAATTTCCATTGTTAGCTTCTTTTTAATTTCCCATTCATACATCTGCTTATAGTGTAATTGAGTATTGTAAAATGTAGATTGTTTTCCAGGGTTCCCCAGTTCATCCCTGCAGTACAATGTGGATAAATATTTCAACATCGACGGCAGCATCGAAGTCTCTCTTCAGCTGTTTTGGTATTTTTTAGCTGCGGAGCAGAACAGAAACTGTTTTTCCATCCTCTGAGTTCTGGTTAGCTGTCTCAAGTCCGTGTTTGAAATTACGTCCAACGTTAAGTGACGGACTCGAACCAGAGCCTAGCCCTTGAATTTCTGGCAATATTTCAATCGAAAATATCGTGTTGTTAGTGCTTATTATTAGAAACCAAGGCAATGTTCAAAACGAAACATGCCCCCTAGTAATTCATATTGTTGCACCAAAGGCAATCGTCATCCATTAAATTGGAGCCTCATTGATCTGTTAATAATAGACGTTACTAATACCAGCAAATTAATTCTAAAAGAGTTGCGATTTAACAAGAATACTTCAACACAATTTATTTCTGAAGGCTGAAAGGAATGCCAGCCTGTTCCTCAAAAGAGGTCACTTTGTCAACCGGGCAACTGGCCACGTAAGTTTCAATGTCTCTTTTCGTGAGGGGCCACCACAACTGGCGCTTCATGAAGTGGGGAGTTTTAACAAATCCAAAAAGGCCCGGTGGTCTTAGTGTCATGGTTGTGTCACAGCACCAGGGTTTGCCAGCTCAGCGCCACATACAATCTGCTCCCCATCCACGTCAGGTCCCTTCGTGAAAGTTCTTCCTTATGGAGTTGGTCCGTTGCCAGAGCCCCTATATATCCCCAGCTACCTGTTCTTTTGAGATTTTTTTGTTTCCTTGTGTGGGCTTATGCAACTATTTGTGACCACATGATGCATGGACTTCCAAATGTGTAACAAAGTGCCTCTTAGGAAGTGAGAAGGCCACATCCCATTAGCACCAGTGAAGGTTTGATGTCCTGGTGTTTTGCCACATACATCCCAATTTTCAAATGGTTTTTGAAAAATTGTGTTGTCTAGAGAGACAATAACTTAGTCACTTGTTCTGCCATTTCTGACTTTTGCAGTAGCAAAATAAATGTTTTCTGCAGAGTAGTGAAGAAGAAAGCTATCTGTGTCCACAAACTCCATTTGATTCTTCCAATTAATGCGACATGTTCAGATTGCTGTTGGCCCATATCAAGCTAACAAAAATATCACTTATCGCTTTGGCCCTTTGGTTTTATCAAACCAGCATAGTTGATGCTTATATTTTAAGTTCTTTGAGGTGATGAATACTCTTCTGATGACCCTCTTCTCAGGTGCCCTGCATACTGTGAATAAAGTCAGAAAAGACCACTTCCAAAATTGGAGTCCACTTTGGGGTGAGATATTTTAAGGATATAGCAAATTGGGAACTGAATAACGGAGTTGGAAGGGACCTTGGAGATCTTCTAGTCCAACCCACTGCTCAGGAAGGAAACCCTACACAATTCCAGACAAAGGGTTGTCCAATCGTCTTAAAAACCTCCAGCGTTGGAGCATCCACAACTTCTGGTGGCAGGACGTTCCACTGATTAATTGTTCTCATTGAGATGAAATTTCTCCTCAGTTCCAGCTTGCTTCTCTCCTTGATTAGTTTCTATTGGTTGCTTCTTGTCCTGCCTTCAGATGCTCTGGAGAATAGCTCAACCCCAGATCTAGTGGAGGGCAAAGGAGTCGGGACAAAGTATAGAAATAGGTGGTATAAGGAGCAGTTGAAAGAAATGTGCATCTTGAGATTGGAGAAGAAGATAGTGTGGACAGGAACAGATTGGAAAGCATTCTTCAAATCCCCAAAGAGGACAAATACTCTGTGTTTGCCTAGAAGGCAAGACTTAATCTAAGGAGTTAAAGTTACAGGGGAGAGCCTGCTTGGAACAGTAGTTGAATGCATGAAGTTGGAACTAGGAAACCGGGAGTTTTAGTTCTGCTTTAGGCAAGAAGCTAACTGAGTCACTCTAAAATAGACATTTTCTTTTTTTAAGAGCTGTGGGCCATAATATACACAGGAGTAAGGGCCATTCTCTCTGGAATAATGACGTGAAGTGGATGACACTGGATCACATCCTGGCAGAATCAAAATATTCTTATTTTTCTGAATGTTGGGGAAGTGGTGAAGCATTTATATTTGGTGAAATCCCTACTTCAAGGTGGCCGGAAACAGTGGGACCAATTTTTGATCCTGTGGAGATCATATAGTTCAAATGTGCTCTGCAGACTGGAGACAAGTCCAGAACTATTTTGTATGGAGAAGTCACATTTCTCTGTGGGTGGATAATTTTGCTGCGCTACCTTGCTCTTGGAAGGAGACAAAATTTGGGCCTACCAGCAAGAAAATAATTCAGAGAAGCAACAATGGCAGCACCTATTTATTGGTTGGAGGGTGCATCTGGAGGCAGCTGCTCCTTGATGTATTCCATCTGGCTCACAAACAGTTGGAAAAACCATTGAATTAGTAGAGCAGCATCTTATGCTTCTGGGTATACACGTTTCAAAGGTATTTGTTGAAAGGAAATATGGCAATGGCTTTAGAGCAGATACTCTTGAGTGTAGAAAATGCCTCAGACTCAAAGATGGCGCCTGCAGTTAAAAGGATCTGATGTAGCAATAGAAGAAAAGTCCTTTTTCCTGCTTCTCTCTGAATTATTACTATGGGATTTCAAATAGAAAAGAAATAAACCTGCTGTCTTCTGATAGTTTTGCCTTCTAGGGAGCCACCAAGAATATTTATACAATAAAAATTGGAATATATTACACGTGCGTGTGTGTTTGTGTGTGTGTA